CTGCATGTGTTCGCAGTACACGAACTTCATAAAAAGCTGCACAGAGGGTTTTCTTGCCTTAGCAGCTAGGTATGTGTATTCACCTCCCAGTAGGCTTTGTGAATAATAGGTAAATACTGGCTTGCATGTGCCACATGTTAATAAAGCACAGCTTGTGAATGTTATGCAGGGCAGAGCTCAAGTCATTGCAGAATATGAGATGGGCTGTAGTTGACCAGAGATCCACAGAGGCCAGTATATGATCTCCAACAGAAGCCACCAGCACATGTTTAGAATAGTAAGTAAGAACGAGGCAAGCATCTAGGGTTGTTTTCCTGAACGTTGCTCCTGTATCAGGTCCAGGAGTTTTACTTTGATAAGTGGGGAGTGTCTGGGTATCAAGTAACGGTCAGAAGATCCATTTTCCATGGTGTGGCTGGGCCCCTGGTAGGAGCTATGTAAGCTTTTGACATCCATAGGATCCAGCGGCAAGGAGTGCCTGTGAAAACTTCAAGTCAATTCGTGTTGCGTGCCAGCCTGACAGTCTTGCCCCTTTTTTGGTGCTCTGTTTCCAGTAATGCTATCTGCTGAAAAAGCAGCATGCCAATGTGATGGAGAGGGAGAGAAGATGATGAAATACAGAGATGTATTTGTGGATCTTTGAACTGCGACCTTTTTTCCCCACTCCCTTTCCTGTTCTTGCCTCTGTCCCCTTCTGTCTTGTTTTCCTTTGCTCTATTCCTCCCCTTTGGCTCCTTATTCCACTTTCTCTGCTTTTCAGGCCTGTGTCTCTGGTGTCGGCTGCAGACACCAGAAGGCTCTTGGCAGAGCATTTCTGTGACTTGGAGGATTGATTTTGGACTGTATTCATTGGTGACTGTGTTTATCTGCTGCCTTGCACAGAGCCTGGGGTTGCCCATGTGTTTGCTATCCATCCCCTAGGCAAAGTTTTATCAAAGTGCTCTGTCTTGCAATCTGATTTTTTGTTTTTTTGTAAGTAGTTGGCTTTTGGAATATGACAAAATACATTAACACACACTGCAGTCTTATTAAATGTTGGATGCATACTGTTCATTAATGGCCAGCTTAATTTCAGAGAGAAGTATGCCATCTGCCATCATGAAAGCATCTACAGCCCTGAGTCACCTCTGCGTGTTTGAATGTGGTCCCTCTTGCTTAGTCAAGCCTCAAGCACTTAATTTGCCTGTTTCATTCTAAAAAGCTTTTCATTTTGAAGAAAAAAAGACAAATATGTGAAGAAAGGTGATCCAAAGAGGCGATATCAGGCAATGGGTAATTGCAAAGGGGATTGTCTAGGAGAATTTCTTTCAATGTGGAACAAAGCACAAAGGGGAGAAAAAATGGATCTCCCATGTCAGGGTACAGTTGCAGCACCCAATAGAGCAGACACTGAAGTAGGTGGAAGGAGACTCTGTAGCAGCTTGTGTGGCCCTTACCCAGGACCATTGCAGGCTTCTCTGTTTGCATGGTCATTTTGACACAAGTTCACTTGATACTTGGTCCTTCGGTGGAAATTGCTGTGAAACAGGACGAGTAGGCAAGGATGAGTAGATTTCTATTTCTTAATTTGATTTTTCTTGTTTACTTAGGGACTGTGAAGCCTCTGCTCTGCTAGTTGTGGGTGAGCTTCAACTTGCAATTATCCACAATATGAATGCACATTTAAGGGGGTAGATGTTGAGAGAGAAAGATCAACTACTTACCTGTTGCTGTTTTAATTTGACACATATTATCAGGAGGTGTCTTCACCTCCTTTTCTTCTCCTTCAAAGTGTAGTCTTTTTTGGAGGGGGCTTTCAATTGAGAGAAAGAAGTGTTTGCTTCTTCTGTTACATGAGTGTGAGTTACATGAAGGGGGAGATGAGATACAGCTCAGTTTAAAAGTTCTTTGACCCCCAAATTCCCCGACAGTGATATGAAGCACCTAAACAATATTTTTCACACTAACAGTGACAGCTAATTAACCTGTCCTTCCAAAGGATTGGATTTAGTTTGAATTCAGTAGTTTAGTACTGAGAAAAGTAATTTTTCTGAAGGTGCTCGTTTCCTCAGCTATTGACTGAGTTCCTCGGCACTCAAGGGCAGGTGGGGAGAAAAACCTGCTGATAATGATTTTGGTATGCAAGGCATCAAAGCTATCACTGCTTATTTCTTAGCAGTTAGCATTACGATGAGTAACCCCATTAAAGTCAATAACCTTTTTGTAATGCAATCTAAGGCATCCATAAACATGTATAGATGAATGGATGAAGATAAATAGTATTTTTTTTCTTCCTTTTTTTTTTTTTTTTTTTTTTTTTTTTCCTTTTTCCTCTCCTGGAGGGATCTCCACTTTTAGTACATTCTTGATAGATCTGTTTCAATATTTTGCCGGGATATAGGAGCCTGACTAGGTGATGCTTCATTTAAAATCAAGGTAGCCAAGAAGGCTGACCTCCCAGTAGAAATGTTTACTTTCATTCCTGCTCAGATTATTTTTTTCAATACGCTCAAATATTTATGCATCTTTCTGAGACTTTAAAAGTTGATGGAAATAAATTTCTGTTTTTTCAGTGTAAAGGCACTGTATTTTTAAGTGCTGGAATAGCCCCTACTGCAATATGTGCAAGAAAAACAGCTTTTGAGGGTCTTTGATGTGGCATTTGTCCTTCATTGTGCATCCTAAATACAGGTAAATAGTCTTACGGAAACCTAAATTAGAACTAGCTGGCTGTAATATGCTGGTACTATCCATATAATATTATAACAAATGGTTATTACTATAGCCACATAAACTGGCTGAATTTGGATGAGAATGGTGCATAATGCTTGAAATGTCATCCTTGCAGAAAATGAACTGCAGAAACATTGGAATGGGAGCTTTATGTCCCTATATACATGAGTGCCCAGAATTTCTATGAGCAGATACTGTCGGCTGGGAGCCACAGGCAATTTACAGGGACAAATTCACATTGGAACATGGTATCATAAGACATACTGCTTAAAAAGCTAGGAACTTGCATTTAACTGACAAAAAGCACCCCTCTCAACTTTTCCTTTGAAACATAAGCAAATTTAGCAAAGCAACAAATTTGGCTATGAAATTTATATACTGCTCAGATGTATTATCTCCATCATCTGTTTGCTCTGGCTTGCCTTAATAAGGATTAGATGTGCCCAGGGCTTGGACGAAAAGCTTTTAGAGGCAGAATATATAGAGTGATAAGAAAGGAGAAGTTCTTCTTATGTCAGTCTTTTCTATAAGTAGTCTACGCAATTGCTACAGAGCAGTGTTATGGAGTGATGTTTTATTGTCTATGCTGCTTTTTAAATGTAGTTTTTAAAACCCACTGGTCTTACTGTGGAGTGAATATTTATTAATTAACAGTCCTTTGTTTGGGTTTAGGATATTGGCTTTAAACAAATAGTTTCCAGCTTATTAAACAACATAGTGCAATTTGGTGAGATCAAATGTATTAGGAGTCAATATTGATGATTATTTTTTCCTGAATGGCTCCATTAATTTGCAAAATGACATTTCTGCCATTGCTGAGTTATCTCAAGTCTCCAGCCTTCCTTTCCTAGTAGTCAGCGATGTCTTATAACAGTCATACTGTTAGGTTGTTGCTACTTGGAATGTTTAATTTGGTAAATCTAAGAAAACTTTACTGGTTCTCCTATCACTTTAGCACTGTGAATATTTTGCTGCTTGTAAAAATGGGTGTTTGGTTATTGGGTGTTTCAGAAAGTTGGGTGATGATATTTAATCAACTTTATTCTTTTACTGAATGAATATATTTATTATTTTTGATAGGAGTCCAGATTCTAATTGAAAGGGGTCTCAACCTTAGAACCTGTTTGCAATAGTCAACCTTATCATTAGTCTCATCAAATTGGTAGGGAATAAGCAAATGTCAGAACCACAGCGACTCCCATTTCTGTAAGAAGATAAAGTCCTGTCCTCCCTCATAGTCACAAGGAGTTAAATACTCTTGTCTCTGAAGAAGGTAAAATGAGGCGCAGTGTATCCAAGTGAACTTGGAAAAGGGGTGATGGTCGGAATTCTCCAGTGCACATTTTGTATTATATACAGTCCAAGTGGTGATAGTGAAAGTTAAAACTTGTCTTTGCTGAAGTCCCTGAAAGTGGATTCTCCAAATGCAAGTATAATCAGCACTACAAATTGATTTGGTCTCCTGTTGTTAAATGACCTCTGTGGATGGGGGGAACCTATTCCGAGACTTTGGAATCAGGGTAACAAGTGTGATGTGATTGAGACCTGGTGTCTCCAGGACTGACTCCATGGAGTTTTGGTTGGGGGTGACTGAATATGCCATCGACTTTTTTGATTGCAGTGGTAGATAGAAGCTCACGGGTGTTCTCCAGTTGTTAAACTAACAGTTTGAGATGACTAAAACCCAGTTATATTCTACAGAAAAAGTGTAATCTGTGTTCAGGCCTCCATAATGGAAACCGTATGTCTACTGCTGTTTTTTGAGGTCACTGGCAGAATAATTCCTGTCAATGCAGGTTTTTGTTTCTTTTAGGTGAATCTTTTAGGCGAATCTTTAGCTTTAGATGTCTTAAGTAGCTTTGGCAAAATGATTTAGTCAAAGACAAAGCAAGTACTCTGAACGGGTTATGTTTTAGTATCACTTTGGTCATAATCTTTTGAATAGTCTTAATTTGGGTGTGTGCAAAATTTTACTTTAAAAGGCACATTATCTTTCCCCCGTCAGTATGTCAGTATTATAAAATGAAACTTTTTTGTTTCAAAGGATGAGTAACAGTTTTTCAATGCTCCTGGGTGCTAAAAAGAAATTATCATTCCAATTGTATACAACTGTTGGCAAACTTATGAAGTAATTAAGTAATTGTAGAAGCAGACTTTTGAGACGTCAAATTTTACATAGAGAGGAAATGACAATTTACTTTCATTTTAAACATAAAATATTGCCTTGTTTTTCCCCCCTCCCCCTTCCTGTGGCAATTACTCTATTGAGATTTCTTTGAATTCTCCAGGTGGTTTTCACACATGAGTTCAAGAAGAGTTCATAGTTAAAAGAAGCAATTGCTGTGGAGGACAGCATGACCACCATGAAAGGAAGCTGCCTCCTTGCTCTACTGCTGGCTGGACTTGGGGTGTTAGGAATACTGGAGTCAGCAACAAAAGAAGATATCCGTTGCCACAGAGCTGAACACCCAGTTATTGCATACAAAGGTATGGAGTAATGCAAACATGTTCTTTTTGTGTAGAAACTTCTGTTGATACTATGAAATGGTATAAAAAATGCATATAGTTATGTTTATATAATCACATTGATTATATTCCATACAGGTTAAGCACGCATTTACAAAGCTTGCTCACAATTTGGTGCTGATTCTGTGATTTGAAGATGTATCATTTTTCCATTTTGTAATTAAAATACCAAATTAGGATCATTCTCTAATGGGATAGGGCAGATTGGAAGAAAACCTCAGGAGATCATTGAATCCAACCTTATGCTTGAAGTAGAGCTAGCTGTGAGATCAGAGAAGACTGTTCACAGATTTACAGAATCTGATCTTGAGGACCTCCAAGCATGAAAACTGTACAACCTGACTGGGCATTCACAGCTTAACTGTCCTTGTGGTGAAAAACCTTTTTTGCCTTATGTCTGAACCTTCTGTTTCAACTTTGACCTGTTGGCTCTTGTCCTCATATACTGACGAAAAGAGTCACGTACTGTTTTCATCTTCATGATACCTTCATAGGTTTCAGATATTGCTGTTAGGTTCCCCCTTGCTGCCTTCTCTTCTCTAGACTGAACAAGTCCAGTTCCTTCAGCCTCTCCTTGTACCTTAGGTGCTCCAGGCATTAGCTTTCTTGCTGGCCTTCCACTGAACTCACTTCAATATATCAACATCCTTATTATCCTGGTAGGTTCAAAAGTGAATATAGTATCCTAGATGCTTCTAGTGATTTTATAATCTCTTCCCTTGATTCTGTTTCCTTGGACAGGCTATGTTCCAGTTATACAGACCAGGTTGTCATTGACTTTCTCTGCTGCAAGGCCACACTCATGGTTGCTCTCTTGTGTTCAGTTTGCTGTCTGGCTGGACAGCCAGGTCCTTTCAGCAGAGCTATTCTCTATCCCATTGGTAGTGCACTCTGTCATCTCCTCCATGTCGCTGATGAAGACGTTAAACAGCACAGGTTCCAGGATTGATCTCTGTGATACTCTGCTTCTTACCAGCATCTAGGTAGAGTACAGCCCATGAAAGAGTTATTTTTCTAGCCAGGTTTTTATGTATCTGGTTGTTTATTTGTGCAAACAGACCGTAACATCCTAACTTGCATACAAAAATATTTTGGAAGATGATGTTGAACATCTCACTAAGATCAAGATGAATGGCATCCACTGTTCTTCTCATCAAAATATCCTATAATGTTATTACATAAGGCAAATGGGTTGGCCAGGTGTGATTTACCCTTGGTAAATCCCTGTGTACTGTTTCCAGTCATGTTCTTCTTTGTATAACCATAAAGATTTATTCCAAGAGCACTATCTCTATAACTTTCTCAGGAACTGAAATGTTAAGTACCTGCCATGTTTATTTTCCTGCAGTCACTGAGGACCTTCCCCAGTCTCTGCAACTTCATGGAGATGGAGAGTGGCCAGTTCTTGTGTATTAGTAGAAACTGTTCCTGTTGCCTGTGATGCATTTTGCAAGTCTCAACTCTAGTTGAATTTTGGCGTGTCTTGACACCATTATTATGTGCCCATGCAGTGTTTCTAAATTCCTTGTTGGTAGCCTGTCCTTGTTTCCATCTTGTATATACTCCCATTTTGCTTTGGAATTCCATCATGAGTTCCCTGTTTAGCGAGGCAAGTATTTTAATAAATATACTTGTCTTCCTAAGTATTGACACAGATTGCCCTTCCAATCAGAGGAAGTGGTAAATGAAGTATTTTATGACTAAAATGAGTTTTTATTTATTTGAATTATCTTTTCCAGTTAAATTCTGTTGCTTAACTACTTCACACTCAAGAACTGAGCACTCATTGCATCATTTTTTTTGTGTATATGTAACTGTAAAAGCAAATAATACTACAGTAGCATGCCAAAAGTTGATTAAATTGGATTAGAAATGAATTGGTTTATGAATCTGACACTGTTCATAAATTTCAGCCAGTGTTTAGGAAAGAAGCTTGAATTTAGTACAATCCTTCTTTTAAGGTCTTTATTGTTCCCTATCATATTTAATTTCTGGTGGTGTCCTTCCAATTGCAGGTTAGTTATGCTAAGGATCATTGGCTATGGAATGGAGATAGCAGAGACTTTCTCTGCCATCTTATTTCAATTGTATTTTCTTGTGTAACCACAGGTAGCATAACAGAGTGACAGTTATGCTTTGTTGTAAAGATCCCAAAAGCTTATTGCAGTCTGTTTGGGATGTAAAGAATATGTTCTAGGTACGTATAGGTAGCAGAAATATGTAGGAACATTTATTTTCAGACTGTTAATATAAGATTTCTGATATTCACTCTTTCTATTTTTCAGTATCAGGCCACCTGTTGACCTTTGCAGGAGAAGTTTCATCAATCAATCATGTACATACCTGTGCCATGTCTTAGCCTTTATGAACTGGGATAACAAAAAAAAAAAAAAAAAAAAAAAAAAAAAAAAAAAAAAAAAAAAAAGTGACAAGCTGTAGCTCATATGCAACAGAATAATCTTTTAATCTTTAGGAAACCTCCAGCAAATCTTAAGAAATATGTGTAGAAGCATAGTCGCAACACAGTATATAATATGTTACAGCTAGGTAACATAGCTGGTATAGGCACATGGCAATTTACTAGTAAATGCAGTGCTGCTAGTCTAGGGGAAAGAGAAGATGACAGATCAAGGGAAAAGGTGACAAGGGAAAAGGGTTTTCTTAGAAACTGAATGTTAAAAATGGACTATTGGCGACTTGGTTGAGGTATGAAAAAGTATGAGAGAGAGAGATGTGTGGGAAGAACTTATGAATGAGTACTGCTGTAAGAGTTTTATGATGTTGCTGTGAAACGGTTTTGGCAGGGTTTAAGCAGTTCTCTTCCTGACTGCTGTACTCCTCCTGCAGCATTTAATACCTTTATTAATGCCTACAGAATGTAGCTGGGGGCAATATTAGTGCTGCTGGAGCTGTGCAGGGTCCTAAAATCAAATCTTGCCAACTAAGAAACTCGTTAGTTGACTGTTAAACCAATGTTGCATTCTGTCAACCTACTTTATAATGATTTCATGTCTGCTGGTGCTAAACGCTGTGTGGGATGTTGAGCACAAACTAAGGTTGAATGTGATTGTTACTGTGTGATAAGTACTTTTGTGAACTCCAGTCCTAACTTTACAGAGATATCAACTCTGTTTTATTTATAGCTGACTAAAGCCATTTTTTTGTAGTTTTGGGTTCTGTAGTTTTGCCAAAATAGCAATATACTTACTTGATCTGTCCTCCTTTGGGAGGACTATATGAATGCATGGTAGATGGACTATAAACTATTATACGAAACTAATGGAGTGAGAATCTGCTGTAGCGTATGGATGAACAGCTGCAGAAAACAAATAAAAAGTAGTCCCCAGGAGCTGTCATGACGAAATATGGAAAGGAAGCATATCTTTTGAAAGAGCTTACTTTCTGTCCCACTGCCAATCAAAAACTTGTGAAAAAAGTTGTATGATGTTTATGATGATCCTGTCAAGCTAACTTTTGTAGAAATGAATGTACTATTTCTATTACTGATTTTTTTTCAATTAAGCATGTTTAGCTGAAAGACTCTGATGTATTTTCTGCTATCAAATAGCAAGAATTCCACCTACCAGTTAAGAACTTTTGTTCAAATATTCAGTTTTCTAGTCATAGATAAAAGGAAAAAGAAGCAGATGTGGGGGTGATTTACACACTTTCAGTGGTTTTTCTACATGACCTAAAAATCTCTTTCACTCTATTTGTTTCACATCCACGGTAGCAATAATCTTGGTAGTGTTCATCTGCACAATTAACATTATGAATATATTATGAACCTTTTATCTTTCCCGGAAACTAAAGCAACAAATGAGAAAACCTATTGTAGACATCAACATGTTTCAACTCTAAAATTCTCTCTCAAGCCTTTCCTAGAATAGAAAGAGGCACTTTGTGTCTCAGTGGTAGACTGGAAACTTCCATTTCTGGTTAAAATTGGTGGGAGCTGTTACAGGAATCCGATTTATAAAAAGCAGGCCCCTAAGTATAGGATGACTTGAGAGGATCAGCCCCTGCATTGTGCAGTCTGGGGTGTGTTATGTGATGGGAGTAACCAGGATGATGCACAAGGTCCCTCTTTTAAGAGTCCCCTCTTTCCAGGAAGGTGCCTGCACCATGTACAAATGTGCACATGTACAAATGTGTGATGCTTTTTGTTTTTTGAAATTCCATATGCATATATTACACACATGTGCCCAAGATTCCTCACATGTGTAAGTGAAAAAGTAAATAGACACATTGGAGACAAGAGGTTGTAAAACCTGTGCATATTGGGGATTTGGATACAAAGAACCAAAGTCAAAATGCTCAAAATAATTTAGCAAAAGACATGAAATAAGCTTGTCATTAAAAACAGGAGGCAAAAAATAGAGCATTATATTTTTTTATTAAATATTATTTCATCTAGTCATGCTTTTATGTCCATAGAGAAACTGAAATGTTAACTGTGTAATGTGTATTGGGGCTTATTGATGGCCAGCTTGTTCATTTCTTGGAAAAAATGTGCCTGCTTAATATAGTAAAGGGACGTGTTTAACATAAATAGTTAGAGAAAGCTATTGAAAACAAGCTTCCTGTGGGTATGATAAGTGAGGAGTAAATCATATGCGGACAGTGTTTAGAGAAATAACATGGGCGTCTATGGAACAAAACCAAAATCTGTTTATCAAAGTGCAGTCTTATGCAGAAACGAATTGAAACAGTAGACTAACGCTTGGCTAAATCTTTCAAAGCTCTTAACCTGCCACTCTACAGAAACTCTACAATGGAGAGAGAAATGGTATTTTATTTCCATAAGTTAGAAAACTTCCAGTTAGAAAAAAAGAACAAAACCCATAGAAGTAGTTGCAGTGGCAACTTGTTCCCCTTCCCCTGCACACACCTATCTTGGTTAGATGTATTAAATTCACAAATTCAGCTGAAGACTCACAATACAGATGCACACCTTCCGT